CAGAAGTTTTCGTGTAACATGGTGGTGCAACTGTTTTTCATGCACAGAACCTACCATTTATGAGTTGTTGATACTTTCAAGGAGTGTTCAAAATTTTGATTCATCAGACTTGTCAGACCACCATCAGTGAATTCTGTGGTTTGTCCATCCATTCGTCGATTGTCAGATGACCATTAAGGGCCACAGCCCACTTGTCTATGACATGACTTGATTTAGAAGTTGCAGTTTTAGAACCATATTTGCATGGCAGCATGCCTATACCTGAGGATATTAACCCACACATATCTAATGTTGTAACAGTCCTAGGTTTGGGTAAGCTTATTGTTTGACCAGGGATTCTGGTGAATACAGGAAGTGGCCAGTTTTGAGGCATTGTGGGTACTTTGTTTTCAAGCTTCTAGAATTGTTACTCCTGAGTGTCCTGACATTTCAGTGAATCAACACTAGAGTATCATTGATCAACCTTGAGTTGTCATTATCATATTGATGACCATTCTGTACAGTCCTGAACCACGCATTCTGACCGGTTTGATGTGAAGTTGATGAAAAATGACTATTTTTAGGGGAGATATCGGATCAACAAATAAATGAAAAGATAAAATCCAGGATTCAGTCTCTGGTTACGATTTAGGAGACCATTTCGTCTGATGGTCGACCAAGCAAAATAATTAAATGTTCTATAGTAATGTGCGACTAGTGGAGGAAACGTTTACTGAGCTGTGATATTATCAGATTCACAAGATTATGTGCTGTGTGATCGGGATGCATTCAGCTCACTGAGCAAAATTTGATACTGTTCTGGAAATATCTGATCAATACCATCAATCGCATGTTTTGTAAAATAAGATGTTTACTTCATTGTGGTAGAACTTGATAACAATCTAGTATTATATCATGTTTTGGATGAAAAGTGTCATACTACGTAGTTTAAAATATTCAGTGACAGATAAACAGATCAAGGGTAACACATGGACAGTTTATTACAAACCAACACTGGAGTTTAGGTTTCTTCAATTATAAACTTGTACTCATCTCAAATGTCATTAGCAGTGTATGGACAAGTTTAGGAGATTACATATGTGTTGTTTCTGAATTCAATCTGTCATCCCTAGAGAGACACAGCTTGTGGCTTATTATTTAGATAGTCAATTGTTTTGAAAATTATGTAAATATTAACTGAGAAATATCACATTTAAAAGACGGTTTAATAAAAGAAATTAAACTGTTTCAGATGTTGAATTTTAGTAAAGATGAAAGGTGGCTGGATTTTAAGGGAAACAAATGTGAAAATGATTATCACTATGCAATAGCATTGTAGTGACCAATTTCAGAAATATTCGGCAATTTTATTGTAACCCTGGTCAATATTAACCAATGGTACAGTCACCAACTTCTGAAAAAATTCAGCATTTAGGTCCATATACAATATTTCTTACCCATGTCCCATCATTGTAACCCCAGAAAGCTCCAGAACAAGTAATATCATGAAGGAGCTATACAGTAACCGTGGTAAAATACAAGCCACAAAATACCTCCTTTAGCTAGAGAGTGCTTAACTCGCAAATGAAGACACAAGTTTCAGGATTGAATTCTGGCAGAAGCATTGAAATAAACTATGACCTCTTTTGAATTATGATGGCTAGAATGACTTGTAATTGTAAGACAGAAAATGTTAAAAATAAATCGTTTTTACGGTTTGATGCCGTGGACTATTAGGATTAAGTAATTCTCAAAGCATACAATTAGCCAAAATTTAATATAGTCAAGGTGTGAATTATATTTCTTCTGACACAAAAGTCTTTAAGACTAGAATTCTCAAGTCACTGGTGGTCTGTTTTTGTGAACAAATTTCAGAAAAAATTAAAAGTGATTATGTACATTTTATTGTCTGTGCGTTGTGTAACTGTTTATATTACTAGAATATTTTTGTTTCTATCTACGTATCAAGACGGGTTAATAGAATACAATAACAGGTAGACAGTTTGTAACCGTGAAGAACTTAAAATATTTTATGTAAATGAAACAGAGATATGTTTGAACAATAGACATATACTTTAACCATGTAATAAGTGACTCAAAAAAAAAAAAAAAAATAAAAAAGAAAATTGAGAATTTTTTTTTTTTTTATGGGACTTGAAATAAGTACCTAAAAGTATATGCAAAAAATGCTGCAGTGTACAAGTAATGGGTTAGGGTGGCCTAGTTAATGGTTATTACCAGACTTGAACTTATTGTTGTATAAATATGGTAATTATATTAATAATGTACCCTTAATTTAATTAGGGTGGCCTAGTTAATGGTTATGGGTGGCCTTATCACCAGACTTGAACTTATTGTTGTATAAATATGGTAATTATATTAATAATGTACCCTTAATTTAATTAGGGTGGCCTAGTTAATGGTTATGTGTGGCCTTATCACCAGACTTGAACTTATTGTTGTATAAATATGGTAATTATATTAATAACGTACCCTTAATTTAATTAGGGTGGCCTAGTTAATGGTTATGTGTGGCCTTATTACCAGACTTGAACTTATTGTTGTATAAATATGGTAATTAGAAATAATAATGTACCCTTAATTTAATTATTTAACCCCATCATGCCCTGGTTTAGACTTTACGCTGTACAAAGAAATATTCAATTCATTTAATTTGGCTGATGCATTTGTAACATGAACCCAATTGAAAGTCGTTATTATGTCTGATATGAAAAAAAACACATTCCTTATAAAAATGTTCAGTACAGATATTATCTGAAAATAGCACAGTAGTAAAGTGACTGTTTTTTGATAACGGTGGGTTATTCGGTACTGATCAGAGTCCACTGACTGTTTGAGTGCAATACACAGCCAGATTACACTAATAGAGGATGATTTACTAGAGGTCAATTGAGGGGTTATCGGTACGGTAGTATTGAACCAATAATTTCAGATCCCAACATTCCAGAGCGCTTTTTGTAATCATAGAGAGACAAGATCAACGACATAATTTACATCTAATTAGTTATAGATATCTAGGTTCTTTTCGTTTGAAAGTGATTATTTTCCTATAAGATATTGATTACAAAACATTAATAATAGTTATGGAAAAATATGAACATGAAGGATGAATTCATTGAATTAATGATGTCATGTCACCTTGTATTTTCTGCTCAAAAACTAAAGGAAATCAAGTGATGAGACAAATTTGAAAGGTCATTAAATATGATAAGGTTTGAATTCTTCCAAGTTGTATTTGATTTTCTGAATGTAAACAGCAGTACCAGAAAGTTGGCGTCAAGGTGACTGTTTTAAGGGTTGGAGTTAACATAGGGTATTTTTTTATTGGAGTCCTTTTCAGAAGAAATTTGGTACTTCTGTATAGTGTAAATGAACACTGAAAGCAAGAGGGGTCCTTTTCAGTAAAAAATTCTGTTCTTCAAAAGGATACAGGGATGAATTTAACTCAAAATCTGGTATTTATCAGTAAATACAATTTAAGCCTATGTCTGGTAACAGAACCATTAATGTCCATTGCTGTTCTATAGAATTGCAAAACAAATGCTTCATTAGCATAATGTTTTGCAACATGCCCTCCCCCCTGTCTTGTAATCAGGATGTGGACGTTGGCCCCTTGGGTGTATGCAAGCTGGATTTTTAAAGATTTATGAATACTGCAAGTTTGCAGATGGCAGTAGAATGGTGTTTTACAATGTCAATTTGTTGTATAACAGAAACTTGATGGTAAATCTTGTTTGTTTAACACTTCATGTTTATTTTGTAATATGCTGATATGAAATTTGGCAGTGAGTAAAAGAATGGGCAAATGGTGTAGAGATATACATGAGTAATTCTATTTCATTGCATGGATTTATTACAAGCCAAGGTTTTACATGTATCGCTGGTTAAAAATATTGTGTGAGAAACTAAGACATGGTGTGTGAAGAAAATAATGGATTTGTTTGAAATATTCTACTCGAACCACTCAGTATATCAAATATCTAAAAGATACGTAGCTATTAAATTTACGACAGATACAATGGACTCGGGTATACATAACTGTTATGCTCATCCTTCAGAGACAAACAAAATCAAGAACACTGTATACCATTACATACATTTATAGCTGTTGTTGATTTCCGTGGATTGTCATATTCCAAATAAGTCCGAGATAAATGATGTTCTTCCAAATCCCATTCAATATCCATTCCTTCGAAGGAATTTCCTCTTGAAAAAAATAGTGTATTAATTATCTAATTGAATGACATGAGCATTACTCGGGAACATAGCACAACCATTCTGCATCGAATCCTGATTAATGCTGGCTTGGAGTCATAATTGTTCAACAAGGAAGTTTAAGGACATCAATATTGTGTCCAAACTTGTTCAGGAAAATTTTATTATCACAGAAATGTAAATTTGATACTTCAAAAGAAGCTTGTACTGGTGAAAACATGAGAAATGAAGGACAGATCTTTGAAGTTTTTTTTCTTCTTGATGATTTCGCTTCTCTGAGTGACAATGAGTTGAAGAAACTGAAGGGGGCACTGGACTGAACCCCTCACCATTACATTATGTAACTTTGCAGACATTGCTATATTTTCTTGTTTGGTACTTAAAAGTACCCCTTGAATGACAAAACGTCTGAGGAAGGGTCATTAGCTACAATTCTGTCTAAGATAGTGAACGTTTTATCAAAGTAATCTTCACAATGAAAAATCTTTTCTGACTGAAATTATAAAACTTCGCCTGGAATATTCTTTTCCAAGGAATTCTTATCGAGTTTATGCCAAGCAAGATACCCATCCTTAAGTAAATGTGTGCTTGGCTTGTTTGAAAGATTCAATCCTCACTAATTTACTGAAGTCTCAACCAACCAATCCTCAAGTAGTTCTTGGCCAAGGTTCTTCAGGAAGTCCCAAGTGGCACTTTTTCCTCACTACATATCCTCCCTTAAGAAACCTAAAAAGTGGATCCTTGAATACTCAACCAGGTCTTATTTGCAAAACAAGGAATCTACAATGTTAGAGTCTTCTCTTGGCAAGGATCCCTTAAGGGTATTCCTGTTTACCATTAGAACCTGGCATGAAGTCCATGAAAAGTCCCCCAGGGTTTGGTTACATTTCAATAGATTTTTGTCTATAATGACATGCCATGAATAAATTTCCAGATTTACATTTTTTTTGTGTAAGTCTTGGATGGTTTTCTCTATTACATAATATATTTGATTGTTGAATCACTTTCTTTATACAGATGCAGCCATGTGTTGATAACATGATATGCAAAATTAAACTATTTCAGGCCATCCTGTTTGTTTCATATTTACCACACCAAATATTGTCCTTTACTGTAGAACTCAGTATGTTTATCTCTCCCAAGTTTCCAATACCTTGGCCCTTATTCTGAATTCGGTAACTGATAGATGGCCCTTACTCTGGATTATGTGGCTGTTGGATGGTGTTATTGCATGTTGCCCTTGGTTGATGATGATATAATAGATAGCTAAACATCATATCTTGTTTATCTTATTGACAGCTAGTGGCATTGATACTGTCCTGCTGTTTGGCAGAGATCCTCTACAGTTACGATTTGTATGTATTCGTTAGCTGGCCATGCCACGGCTATGCCCACAACTTCGGACACAGCAGCTTTCCACGATTACGTATGTGGAGTGTCACTGTCATTAAAAAGCTTCTGCAGACTCTTGAGAACTAGTCTGTATCAATACTCTCATCATAAAATACAAAAATGAGCCAGTAACACATCGACTATAAGGAAAATAAACTTTGTAAATAAAGCCAGATGTCACCGTTTAACGCCAGTTGAAATGATAACGATATTAACACACTTGACTTTGCGACTTGAATTGGTATTGGTATTCATGACCTGCTGACTTGGGGATGTATTGTACGTTGTTTATCATTACACGTCAGATTTTATTGTGTTGTGGCACTGACATATCAAGGTCAATATAGTTTAACTTGTATCAGTTATTTAAGTTTATCGTAGTATGATAGTAAATAATTCCTTCGGGTTTCTGTGTGAAACAATTCTGTATCATTTTGTAGTTTCAGCATGTGTAAATAACCAAGATTCTAATCATATTTCACATTATGTTTTATTGTTGTCTTCACATTTTTTGCAGATTTTTAAAGGGAAGCTACTCTTGTGATATTTTTGAGGATTTGTTTCATAGAACCTCCTCGAAAGTAATCGTTCTTTTTACATCCTGTCCTCGGCTTTGTGGCATCATAAACCTTTCTTGAAAATTTATCCAGTTCTCAAAAATTACAAAAACATGCAAGTTAATTTATGATATGAAGAAACCTTAAAAGAAATACCCAAAGGTTATATTTGCTTTTATTTGTATTTTGCAGATCGTAAATTTGTGATTGCAAATGCCCAAGTTGAGACCTGTCCAATCCTCTTCTGTAACGATGGATTCTGTGAACTCACAGGTTCTTCACGAGCAGAGGTCATACAAAAGTCCTGCATTTGTGACTTCCTGCATGGCCCTCTCACCAGCTCCTTTGGCATTCTCCAGATTAAAGATGCCCTACAGGGGTCGGAAGAGAAGCAAGTGGAAATCCTCTACTACAGAAAAGATGGTAAGTTTGCTGGTTAAAGGCCATCATCTATACTCTCTCTTGTTGATAGAGCTTAGTGCACAATCTCTACTTATGGTGTTTTTTGTTTTTTTTTTTTTAAGAAAATGAGATCGAGAACTGTCCAGTGTTGTTATGCTGTGTCCAAGGACAAGACTCTCTACACTGTTTCTTTTTGATATAATTTAATGGGTCTCCTGTATGATGTTCAATGAGGAAACCACCCACTGTTGACAAAGCGTCACATGTGCTTTTACAAAATGACCCTGGTTTTTCGCAGGATTATAGTTTTAGAGAATAAGCAATCAACAGTTTTCATAAATCTTTTTTCATAAAACTTTTACAAAATGACCCTGGTTTTTTGCAGGATTATAGTTTTTGAGAATAAGCAATCAACAGTTTTCATAAATCTGCTGAATAAGACATAAGGTGGACTAGCTTATCTGTAGATATTCGAGCTAAGATGATTGTCTCTGGACTGTTATATATTTCACAGATATAAACATTTTATACAATAAGTCAATAACAATTGGTAAACCATCAGGCAACTACATAATCAGGTGATAATAACTTGATTCTAAGCCAGCCCTTGAGTACCTCCATATGAATCTTTGTTTGCAAGTGGTGTATTTCAGGGGCCTATTCCAGGTTATGAAATAGCCTTGGCTTATAATAAAGGTTCATAATTTCACTAAATTGTAATTTAATTTTTTTTTTCTATGGAGTAAGCTTCAAGTTCAACACATGAAATTATTGTTCAGTAAATATGGTACCAAAGTCTAAAAGTACAAGAAAAAATTATTGTTTGATCTATAGAATCGTGCAATAAGTGTTATCTACATGTATGTACATAGGTATTATGTAAAAGATGTGCATGACAGTTCGGCATGTGTGTCCCCAAATGAATTCATCTTGACAAGTTAATGATTTTCTCTAAAGAATTGAGACCTTTTTATGTGAGCTGGTTATATTGTGATCAAAGAGGGTTTTAGTTGAATCATTGTAATCAAATGAATACCAAACCATGCTAGCTTGGTAGGAATTAGAAACACCACGCATCACTACAGGCGTTGATGTAGATATCTTGTAACATTTGTTTTGTTCAATCTTAGAATAAAAAACTCAAGTACACAGAATATTTATGTATAGTACATAAGGAATGTACTATTAAGTCAGTGTTAGCTCCTAAATGTTTAAAATAATGTCATGGTTATATTGTATTATCCAACACTAGGCCGATACCTCTAACCATTAATACTGACACATTAGCAAAACAGTAATTTCAACTAAAAACTGACGAAGCAAGGGAAAGATATTGATACCCTTGAAAATTAACTGAATTACACAGAGGATAATACCATATGTTTCAAAAGTGTAAAGCATCTTCTATTGCAGTGTTAGTAAAAATGTTATCTGATTTTTTTAGCAAACATTTTTTTTATGTTGAGCTATTTAAATCATTCTATTTCCGTGGTCTGTTCTGTCCTTCATTATTGCTTGGAAAGTACTGGATGGATCTTTCTCAAATTTAATATGTAGGTTTCCCTTGGTCCCTAGTTGTGCCTAGTAGATCAATTTTGACATTTCAGGTTATTTATCACTATTTAAAAAAAAAAAATTCGTAGATCTTTCTGAAATTTCATATGAGAGTGCCCCGTGGTCACTTGTGCCTGTCCAATTTGGGGACTGATCATGAAAACCAACTGGCGCTTACACTGCCATCATGGGTTTGACAATGAAAGGTTGCTATTGCTATTTCCTTGGAAATACTGGAGGGGTTTTTCTGAATATTCATATTATAGTTCCTGTTTTGCCAGCTTGATTTAAAGAATTGATCAGAATAATAAAATGGTTGCCAGACAACGATCTAGGATTTTGAATTGGAAAGCTTTTAATTGCTATTCCTTGAGAAGTGCTGATGGAACTTTCTCAAATCGTATATACATGTTCCCCTTGACCCTAGTTACGTCCATTTGATTCTGGGACAGATCAGAAAAACAAATTTTACTGACGGGGCTAATTGACAGTGACAGTTTTGTTGTCGCTATTTTTTGAGAAATACTGGAAATATCTTTCTCAGATTATTATCGAATTCAGATTCCCTATGGTGCTTTGTTGTGCTCATTTGACTTAGACGCTAAAAACAAAATGGCTGACAGATGACCATCTTGGATTTGGCAATTAACTTTCATTTCAGTAATAATTATGGTACCTACACCCAAAAACAAATCCCTACGATCCGTCAGTCATCACGGCAGAGACATAGAGTGATCTCCCCTCCTCTCTCCTTTATGACTGCCGACGAGTCCGGATGTTTTTAGCCGAGTACTTTCAGTTCTCGTAGTACATTTATTCATTATCTGAGTGTTATTTGTTCCTCAGTTTGAAGTTATTTATCCATCTCCCAATTCATATTTTCGTTAATGACTTGATTTTATGTTTATTTCTGCTTATTTTCGGCCATGTTTTTCTCCTTGTGTTCAAGTGTGTAACCACGTGTTTTGCTGTTTCAGTAACATGAAGTTTACAATTTTATTATATTTTCAAGTATGGCTTGTGCTGGGTTATGTCTGGTTTCAGCACATGGGTGTTCCCATTTCTTTGGAGAGTAGAACCCCCATGATGCCTGTCCCCTGTGCCGGCCTTGCAGTGATGCTTCGCTTTGTTCTTGCACAGAGTCCACTGTCAAGTCCCCCCTTCCTGTTTGGCAAACTTCCACCCTGAAGAGGGATTCATCCTCTTCTTCTGGTAGGAGAAACAAGCCTTGTAAGTCCTCCGCCTCTGAGCATTCCTGCCGAGGGTGTTCTGCCGAGTTCCACCCTCATCCGTCCAGGCACGGCCTGGAGTAAGCCTGACCCTGACTTGGAGCAGTCGAGGGTTAAAGTGGCCGGGAGCTCCCATCTGCCGGTTACATATTAAACAAATTCTTTTAAAGAAACATAAGGTCTATAGTCAATAAATACTGCTGATTCAGCTTCGTCTTATAATATTTCAGAAACATTTTACCTAAAACTTAATTCAGTAGAGACTGATGCAAGGATAAGGTGGCTTAAGTAAAGCAATGATAAATAGTTGAAACCAGTGGTTGCCATGAATATTGAAGCTTGATGACCTGATTTAAGGATTATTATGTGTCAGTGTGTTAAAGCAATACTTTATAACTTTATAACTGATCTTTAGTGGCTTAGTTTTATATTTAGTATGTATTTTGTTAAACATCCAGTCAACAACTTTGGCCGTCTCAGGATGGCAAAGTGGCTTAGAAGTGCACTGGATGTAAGTGTGATAAATCTTTCTTTTTTTTTTATAAGAATTAAAAAAAACTGTACTTATTACATTGTACAGTTTACATAGCTTTGTCTCCAAACGATTTGCATTCAGACAACATGCGTCAAAGTTCCTTTCCTGATCAATGTCATTAAGTGCATGCAGTAGTAATTCCCATCCGGATACAAAATTGAAATAAAAAATTTGCTAATGTACCTTGTAACCGAAATAAATGAAAAAAGCAGACCAAAAGCCTATCATTTTCTGGAAAATCAAATTAATACCGGGAACTGTAAAAGCTAAAGGTGAATTCACCTAGACCTCAATGTAGAATTTAAAAAAAAGCAATTATGGCATAAGGTCAGGTGATGCTTTTAACGTAGAAATGTCGACAAGATGAAAGTGACATGCAACATGTAGTTTGGACCAATATGTACAGCTGACAGATCCGTATCGCTAAAGTGTTTGTAACATATCAGTGCTATACATTACACTGATTTTGACAATTGCATGCACTTCAATTGTATCTCTTCTCTCAAAAATTAATTTACTGAGCTAATGGATTTAGAGCTCTGAAATTATTTTCAGTTCTTTTTTTAATAATACAAGTTAAAAGATAGAAACTTTTAAGGAATGAAACACTTTCATCATGAAATTTGTTTGCTGTAAATTTTATGAAAATTATTTTGAAAAGACTAATAGATTATTTGTAATTTTTTGTCCGAAGACAAAAATAGTAATTGCTTTTTTATTCTGTTTTAATGGAATTAGAATTAAATAAACTATTGCCCCTGAATTTTTTTAGTTTACTTTGGCTGAAGGCATACTACAACTTCCATCAACTTTTTCTACCAATTGGTACTAGTCATGAACATTGAAGCAGATTTTGCCCAATTTTTATCCGAAGCATCCTTAGGGAAGGAGAACAAGTTTTGTAAAAATGGTGGGTCAATATCTCCTGGGAAAGGATGGGCAGGATACCAATATTTGAAACAAAGCAAATTCTTATTTCTCCTGTAGGATTGATTTGGTCTGAAATGTGGATGGTTGGGCTGACCCACATAGGGACAGAGGGTTGGTGGTCCTATATTAAAACAGATATGTAATGTGTACTGTGTGCTTGGATATTTAGAATTCTTTTTCCTTTAGTTTTAGCAAAGCAATTTCAGCCAAGCAGCAATACAGGTCCTATGGACCTCTTGTTCTTATAAGTATCAGTCATTCTGTCTGTAGTGTTTATATATAAGTTAGTTGTGTTTCTTTAACTGACTCAAAATTCTATTAATTGATTGTTTAGGCATGTGTTGTTTGCAAACGGAAATCTGAAGCTAGTCTTGAATGAATAGACATCTTCAGCAGTGCAGAAAACCCACATCAGACCATCGAAATAGGTCTTCTTCCTGTCTGTTCCATGTCTGGAGGAGAAGTTCAAGGGAGATAAATAGATAAAGTTAAATATATAGGATGACACCTGAAGAGGACAATTTTGAGTCAATACTTTTGGTAACAGTTAGACAGGAAAGGTTTTTTAATTTGTAAAGACATTTTGGATTGTAATTTATTTTATCACTGAAGATTTATCAAGGTACCATAAAGGTTATGTATTAAGGGGTATCATGTTTCTCTATTTTACAGGACGGAACAAAGCTATGAAAAATAGATACCGTAAAAATAAAAGCAATAGTAATTAAAGAGAAAAATTAATCCACAATGTTTGAAGGTGTTTGGAAAACCACATAGATTTGACC